AGATATGATGGTCGATGAGTTTGACTAGTTTAGCTCGATTGTTTTCCCTATTTCTTATCATTTTTGCTTTAATTACCATGCTTCTAGCTGTTTTTAAATGATTGATGATGAGTCTTTTGTAAACGTCCCCCCAAAAAAACCATATCAAGTCTTTGGGCAACCCACTGACTAGTCAGTTTTAAAATGTTTTCTTCACATCCCTAGTATAGATCAACAATTTTCTTTTGAACTAAAAAGTTTTCGAATGAAGCAAGTCTCACATCAATGTCAATGTGAAAGACTCTTCTCTTTTGTCTGTCCTTTTCTCTCTCTATTCTGTTTTCCACTAGCTATGCCCCTCTCTGGGGCGGATTAAATAAGAGCCCCTTTTATCCGTCTGTAATCCTGATCTGGCAACCCCAGCCTTCAGAGAGAGGAACACACCACCAACTGGCAGCACACACATCTGAATAGTACAGGCCATGGACATATGCTGTATATTATAAGACATAGACCGTGCACAGTCGCACGCACAATCCTAAACAACTTAATACTGACATGCACACATACAACATATTTGTTTTCTCACAACCAATTAAAATTAATGTTCAGAGCATTCCTGCGTGTAATAACGGATCAGATAGATTGTCTGTTTTTTAAATTAATTAATTATTTTTGAAATTTTGAAATATTTCTTTTTGTTTGTGGATTTATATAAAAAAAAAATATTAAAATATATTTATATATATTCAGTGTATTTGTTAACTTTATGTGTAAAATGTAACCAATAAAAAATCTTTAATAATTTTAGTTTGAAAACAGCTTGAAACAGTTGGTTAGGATATGGCACTACACTCCCAAACTGACCCTGGATCAGCTGTGTCCCCAGTGTGTTGCAGCTGTCCGCTAACAGATTGGCATCAAAGTGTTTCTGAAACAGACCATCTCTGGGGGTCTTATCACCTCAAGATAAATCCCTCATTAGACTGAATAATGATTACGTTTCACTTCCATGTGCCGGGAAACCATGTTTTCCTGTTTATGTGACACCGTGACATTAGAGAATTAATTAATCACTGTTTTTTTGGCAATCAGCGGGTGTGAATGTGTATATGAATGCATTGACAGAAGCTGCAGCTGATTTCAGGGTGTTTGCAGGAAGTGCTCCGGAGGAGGGCAGGATGTTGGGGAAGTGTTTGGCGTGGCGGATCTGGCAGGCAGGCAGGCAGACGCTAGCATACCCCGCTGACAAGCTCTCTCTCTCTTATATACTCCGTCCGCCCCTCTCGAGTGCCTTTTGGCCTGGAATCCATCACAAGACACTGTGAAGTGACATCAGACAAGTGGAGACAGAGAGCTCCTGGAAAACACAGACTGGACATGCTGTTTTTCTCAACTGTCACCTAATTGAGTAATACATCATCCATATTCTGCACAGCCCCCTTATGAAACTAGCCTGTTATGAGTCTCGGCGCTTGCGTAACAGTATTAAGTCATGAAATACAAAAAACACTTGAATACTTTTTTTTTGTCTTTCTTTGTTTTGTGCTTAGAAAAAGTTATACTAGAATTTGTGGATAATGAACAAGCCCAAATTGTGCCCTCAAAACTCTCCGCTAAAAAAAAGATTTCCGCAGTTATGGATGTCCTCTGCCCTTTGTGTATTGATGCATATATTTTACACAGGCATCATAAAGAGAAAACACAAATATTTGTATAATATCTGTAAAAAAAAAAAAAAAAACTTGAAAAAACTGAAACAACTAAATAGTCTTTATTCACACATAATAACCAAAAAAATATTTTGTAGGCGTCCTTTGGCCTTGATAACAGCTTGCATTCTTGCTGGCATTGTTTTTATGTACAGTACTTTTACACAGTCTCTGTTGTTATTGACTTCCAAATAGATTCTAGTTGTTCCCAAAGACTTGCTATTGGTAAAACGTTTGTGCTATCTTTCTTTGAATCCACTAATTCCCAAATTTGTTCAATAGGTTTCAAGTCTGGACTTTGACTTGGCCAACTGTGACTAAAGAGCTTACACACTGCTGGATTAACCATTACAAAAATAAAAAATATATTTTGGTTATCACCAATACTATTTATTAGTTTAGGGAAGCTGTAGCACAAACCTTACATTGGGTGGTGGTCTAATAAATGTAACCCTTTCATGCATAGTCACTACAGTGGACAGCTATTAAAAAATAATTTTCTTGAATTTGCATGGGTTTTGATGGCATAATTGCACATCAACCTCTACAGTGGATCCTGGTGCATTATCCTATACGTTGCCACCAAGTTGCAAGCCGTTGTGTGTCGTGTCGATTTTTCCCCCCCTCCAAACCAAGATGGCCAATGGTCAGTCAGAAATGCCAAGTTGCTCCGGAATATCCACCCATTCCTTCTATCCTAGGAGACTCTTGCAGGTAAAAAAAAAAATATTGTAGCATCAAGCAATATCTAAGGAGTCAGTTAAATTTTCCAAGTTTTGATTTTAGATTGGGAGAAAATTCTGATTAATCATCTGTCCACTATAGTGGACCTCATGCATCAATGGCTAATATTTCAGCTACAATTCATACTTATACTGTGAATGCTGTTTTTGAAAATACTTAATCTGCAGTAACTTTTTTTTTACTGTAAATAAATGTATTTGTATTATTAGAATGTATTTTTCATTGACATCAAAAAAGTAATGTGATAATAATGTATGTGACTTGTAATGCATTACTTTACTCATTTCATCAAAAAAGTAATCTGATTACGTAATGCATGTTACTTGTAATACATTACTTTACTCGTAACATTAAAAGAAATCTGATTATGTAATGCACGTTACTTGTAACGTATTACTGTACTCGTAACATCAACAAAGTAATCTGATTACGTAATGCATGTTACTTGTAATGCGTCACCCCAAAACTGCTCATTTCAGATGAGATTGAAAACACCTGATCGCTAGGTTTTGTCAGAGGAGAGCTATGTTAGAAATGTGTCCATCTTGAACATAATCAGAATTATCATCTAATAAGGGTAAATTGACATACTCTGGAAACCACTCAGATGCTCCCTTCAGTGTACCACAGTTGTACCTTGACAGGCTGTAGAGATTTTTGATGGAATCCCGTCCTCATGTTCTGATATCAAAGATACGCGGAGTTCAACTTGTATGAAGTTCAATTGCCTTTGCAATTTTTCGCATTTATATTTTTTGTATATATTTTATAGTTTTCACATGATTTTATATAATTTTATTGATTGGTTTGTTAAATATACACAATATTGCTGTTATTATTGTATTATGTTTAATACAGTATCAGTTTAAACCATAAACGCATGCTGTCCACTCAAGTGGACATCTGAAAATCTCTTTGAAAAATGTGTAAAATAAATTAAGTCAAATCTTGTTTTTCATGCCTAGGAGCAATAAAAACACATAGGAAGAAAAATCTTGACTGAGGTTATATATATATATATATATACATTTGCTAAACGTTGAATGATGAGGTTATTGTACCATATTACATTTTAGGTACCACTGTACTTTTTTTATCATTCTAGCTCCAACCCTTTGGGGGAGGAAATAACTGTAATGAAATACAGAAAGATTCATGGAGATAAAGCCTGCCGATTTGGGAAGATTGAGAGAGATGGGGGGAAGAAGAAAAGAGGGTGCGTAAAAGTGTGAGGTAAATGAAAGTGAGCCAAGTACAAGGAGAACAAGACAAGGTTAGAGAGAGGGAAAGTAAGCATTCATGGACACAGGAAATATGGCCTTGTCACCCAGGCAAGACTGACAGATGTCCCACCATCATCTCTTCATGACAGCTGACAGCATGACGGACAAGTTCAAGGAGAACGAGAGAGCGGAGGAGAAGAGAGGAAGAGTACGGAAGCAGAAAATGAGTCTGCTACCTAATCAGTTGGCATCCTTAGGGCCCTTGACCTTGTATCTCGCTCTCGTTCTCTTTCTCTCTCTCTGTTTTCTGAAGCGTTCTCAAGGCCCATAAAAACACGTGCTAGATTAGAGGTACTCTGTTAAAGTTCCAAGAAGTCCAGTCTCTGAATTTCCTTCTCAGCAAAGATCTGAAAATTCAAAAGTACCAAAATAATCTAAACAGTTTCAGGAGTCAACTTCTCCTCTTTAGAAACTAGTGAGCACCCCACTCGGGCATCGTTTTAAGGCATCATTCATAACTGGAAAAAATTTATTTATAATTTATAATTTTAATTTAAAATGGGTTTTTCTGTTGCTAAGACAAAAATCTTTATAAGCCTTTAGTAAACTTAGAAGATAACTAGAAATAAATATTAAATCCTAAATAGTCATCTGCTGATTTGTCCAGTGTAAAAAGTTCAATTCAAATGTATTTTTATAGTTATTTTCAAATTGCTTTCAAAATCATCTTTGCATTGAATATAATGGTGTTTTACAAACCACAAGTGAGCAACTAAAATCAAAATGGCTAAAAATACTAATAATTGCTAAAATTGTTATTAACACATAGTGATTTTTAGAATGTAAATTACTCTGAATCAACTTTGCAGAATATAAAGTTGTTTTACAAACCACAAGTGAGCAACCAAAAATAGCTACAGAAAAACTTTTTTTTTTAAGAAAGAAAAATGCATTATTATTATTATTATCATAACTAGCATCTCCTTTTACATGAAACCTGCTTTGTATGCTGTGTTTAGAAGCTCAGTTTCTCTGTATGGAGGAAGAATGCTTCTAATTGTATTAAGTTATGGTAAATGATTCACAATCTACTAATTGGTGACCTCTGCGCTAGATGATAAAGAAGTGCAGTGCACCCATGTGACTGCCTGTCTTTTGTTACTTTCTCAGAATAATCATCCAGTGTAAGGTCTAGCGGGTGAGAAGATCTCTTTTTCTGTCTGTCTCTCTTTTGGCCTTGTATCTGCCTGTCTCACGCCGTGATACTTAGAAAGAGGAAATCAACCTTTTTTTTTTTTGCAGTAAATGTTCTAACCACTTCCTTCTACTATTCTCCCCACAGACTCCTCAGGACATGTGACGTCCTCTCCTCTCAGCTCGCCCACGTCCCACCGAGGGATGCATCCGTCACTGCTCAGCCCGACTTCTTTAGGCCACTCGGGGTCCCTGCATTCCCCCATCAGCACTCTGAGCTCGCCCATGAACGGCCTGGGCTCTCCCTTCTCTGTCATCAGCTCGCCCATGGGGCCACATTCCATGGGGTCACCAGGGATGGGTTACGGCCACAGCGTCAGCCCACAGGTAGGGCTACAGTCCGAGTCCCTCCTAGAGCTGTATTTAAAGAAGCGCTTGCATTCAAAAGTCGTATTTATGTTTCATAATTAAACATTGTTGCAAATCGTTCAACCCTCTCGCTCTCTCTCTTTCCAATACTCTCGCTCAATCTGTCTTTTGTTCCATAAATAGGCCTGCACGTCTCTTTTGTCATTTTAAAAAGAGGCTCACAATTAAGACATCAAAGCTGGCAGTGTCCTAGTTTTCTTTGAAAGCCTGATCCACATGAGTAAAATGGTTCTCAAATTCACACACATTTGTAGAGTGCCGTCCATTTTCTCATTGATAACTGTACTGTGGGTTTTTTTACCAGGCTTTTAGCTCATCTTAAATTATAGTCTTGTTAGGTTGGAGGAAGTTGAAGTGGATTTTGTTCTTTCCGCAGAACAAGATTGGTTCATTTCTACAAATCTTTTCTTCTGAGGTCAAACTTTATATTACGGTGTCCTTGTTACAGTGTAATTATACAAAGAAGTGCTGAGTAATATTAATTAATTAACAACATGTAATTGCTAGATAATATTTATGGTGTGTTCAGGGTTAGTTGCTTGTAATTATGCATGAATTACTGTTATTACTGTAGTAAGTACATGTAGGTTGTATAACAGACTCTTAAGTCTGAGCTACGAATCAGATTCATACCTTGCACAGTCCTGTTTAAGACCCCATAAAAATCAATATACTGGAGTTTTGTGGCTTAGTCTGTGTATGTGAGCTTGGAGGTCCAAGTGCTAGTGTATTTCTAAACATTAGTGAAATTCACTCAAAGGTTCAATACTATATTAGTTAATGCTATAGCTAACGTAAAAATAATAATGTTAATTTGTACTTATGCTAATACACTTTTTTTTCAAGTTTAAAAATTACTTTTAATTCAACTATACAGTATATAGGCTATGTATTATATCAATTATTAGTATATTTTTGGATTAAAATCAACCTAAAAAAAATGTTTTAATAGATATGTCCCACCAAAATATTTTAGTTCAATAGAGAATGCATTGACACAGGGCGTAAAACATTTTTGAACGATTCATGGTGTCTTTAATCGTGCAGTTATTTGGTAGCAACATTTCCAGTTCCACCCAGTAAGCCACATTAGTTTCCATCTTAGAACATTTTCAATGAGTCATTCATGATCAATCACGCCTTTATCTGGAGATTCAATTCTCTGGACTATACAAATGTTGAAACTTTGAGAGCAGATTTGATTATTGCATTAACTTACAGTTGTTAGATGTTTCCAGTTTTATCTTTACACACACACACACACTCACTCGCTCTCTCTCTCGCTCTCTCTCTCTCTCTCTCTCTCTCTCTCTCTCTCTCTCTCTCTCTCTCTCTCTCTCTCTCTCTCTCTCTCTCTCTCTCTCTCTCTCTCTCTCTCTCTCTCTCTCTCTGTCTCTGTCTCTCTGGGTGGGAGGCAGTCATGGGGTCTGATGGAAGGTGATTTGAGTCAGACGGCATTTGTCACTTATGTTTAGCACTCGGCTGACTGGCTGTTTTCAGGCCTAGCCGGGTGGAACGGGGTTGCGACTCAGTCCCTCTGTATTTAACCTCCGAGGATCCGGAACAGGCACCCCACTGGCATAAACTGCCCAGCAACACACTGCACACAATTCCCCAACACACAGACAGCATGCGTCAAGATCAATCGTCATTTTGTCCAAAGATGTTTGTTTTGAAGGTTTAACGCCAACAAGTGTAACCACTTGCACTTTTTTATGACAATAAAAGAGAATTGTGGGTCTGACTATGACTATCATTTTTACATGCAGTCCTTAGTTACCCACCACCTGGTAAGACTTATTTATTTTACCTGCAAGAGGACCAAACTTATAATAAATGGCCATAAAGAATGTAAAAAAATATATGATTAAAACCCTATTATTTATTATCATATTAAATCAATCATTTATATATAAATTTCTGTAGTTATTACTTTTTTTATTCTTTAATTTTTTTTTCCTGTGGCATATAAATGCTTAAATGCTCTTAATCTCATATATTTTTAGTTGTGTATAAATAAATGTATAATCTATGTTGTAATATCCCGGCACCTCAGGATTTCAAGTGTTGGTACTGCCTTTGTTATGGCACCTACTGAGTGTAAAACACTAGGTTTTTGTTTTGTCTGGATTCATGTGTCTGTGTTTAGTGTGTGTACACAGTTTTAAATCATAACAGCATCCACCATCACATGGAGCTGGAAAGCATTTACAATACACATTTGTTTGAGTTGGATTGTGGTTGGAATTTTTTTTTTTAAATGTTCGGATTGCCTTCACTTGGGGAGGTTGGTTTTGACAGAGACAACCCATAGCGATAGCTGCAGTGACTCACTCTTGCACACACAGGCACAAACGCTGTCAGCCTCAATCCCACCAGCCTCGGCACAGCACGGACCCTGCCGTCTCCCAGCAGCTGGGACACATTAGGCAGAACGTGGTTCAGTTTACACTTCCAGCAACAATGAAAGGGGATACAACGCTTTGTCTCCCCAGAAGAATCCCTGAACATTTGCTAGCTCTCGATCCCGCCTAAATGGCTTATTACGGTTCAGTGTGTACTGTACTGAAAGACTGGAAGTTGTTACTGGAAGGTCATTATCAGTGTTGAGGAAACTATTTTCAAGCTGTTCGAGCTGCTATTATTTTAAAGCAATTAAAGTATAGTCAAAGTAGTCTTGAAAAGTAGTTAGCTATACTACAATCGCCTAAAAAAAAGAAGCTAACTCCACTAAAGATATTTATGGGGCTACTTTATATATATATATACGTGTGTGTGTGTGTATGTATATATATATATATATATATATATATATGTATATATATGTATATATATATATATATATAGAAACTCAGCAAAAAAAGAAACGTCCCTTTTTCAGGATACTGTATTTTAAAGATAATTTAGTCAAATTACTGGAAAGGGTGTTTTTCATGCTTGTTCAGTGAACCATGAACAATTATTGTAAATGTGCCTGTCCATAAGACACTAACAGTTCACAGGCGCTAGACATTTCACAGTTCCAATAACTTAGGACACTTAAGAGAAGCTGTTTAGGGTTTGGGTGAAAAATTTTAAGAAAGATGCTTAGGGTCCCTGATCACCTGTGTGAACATGCCATAGTCCTGCTGCAGGAGGCATGAGGACTGCAGATGTGAACAGAGCAATAAACTGCAATGTCTGTAATGTAAGATGCCTAAGACAGTGCAACAGGGAGATGGGAAGGACAGCTGATCATCCTGTCAGTGCCAAACTACATGTAACCATGTGTCCCCCAGACGTGTTTATGAACTTGCAAGTGACTTGAGCAGGAGATGCACTGTTGTACTTAAAGCAGCTGGTGGAAACACCACACTCTGACTGCTACTTTTGATATGAACCCCTTTGTTCAGGGACTCATTATTCCATTTCTGTTCATCAAATTTATGTCAAATTTGTTCAGCTTATGTCTCAGTTGTTGAATCTCATGTTCATACAAATATTTACACACACAAAAAATAGCTGGAATTGGAAAATAAACAGTTGAATGTGAAAGGACATTTCTTTCTTGTTTTTTTTAGACTCTCAGACCATGCAGAGAATGGCAAAAATCTGGCTTTGGGATAAATTAAGAAATATTGTTCCCAAAAAGTGTATTTTATTTATTTGATATTTGTGTTTAGTCATATCAGACTTGTTGTAGTCTTTTTATATATTTTTTGTTTGGTGATGTGGCCGCTGTGGCCCTAGATGCGAGTTTGGTTGTGGTCTAGAGAGAAAGAGCTGTCATCTCGCCTTCACTGTCGTCCTGTGATTCATTAAATAGCAGCAAGTAGTTGATCCCATGACCCCTGTGGTGCTGCCTGTCAATCTGTGCTGGAGGTCATAACCCTGTGCTCGGTCTCTCACATCAGCTGGACAGACATGCTGGATTATTGGGCTGCAATAAGTACAAATAAAAGATTGTCTAGCATAGTACTATATAAATAAAACCTTGCTTATATACTTTTACATTTCGATTATAAGTACATTTCTTTCAATGGATTGTCTATTTACTTTGTTTATTAATAGTTTTTTTACAAATATTATTTGAAAATGGAGGTATGAGTATGAATGATTTCTGTGTTTATCAAAAGCATCTCATAAAAATCTGCTAGTAGAGCTTAACTTGTATTTAATGTGAAATATTAATTTAAGGCCTCTTAATTACCTCTTAATTCTGAAAAACTACCTCTTAATTCTGAAAAATCCAAGTGAGTATTTGCTCAGCTCTCTGAAGCCTGTGAAGGGAGCAGGATAGAATACACACTCTGGCCTTGACTGAGATACTTTCACAGGGCCTCTAATGAGGAAAATATGCCTCTTTTGTTATTTCACATTTAGATCCCAAAGTTTGTGGGAAGAGGGTAAAGAGAGAACAAAATTATCAAAGAGACTGATCATGTTTCAAGTTTTGGTTTTATCTACTTCCATACTTTGTCTGTAAACCTGTTAAGTGCCAGTAGGAAAATCCAAGTCTTTCCTCACTGTTCAGGTCAAGGTGTTTTTTATATCTAGATATTACCAGTGTCTTGTTTTTTATTTCATTCTATTTTATTTTTTTACTTTATTTTATTCAAAAGTGTCAAATCTCTGATATTCTGAAATCTATATTACCCGTCTTATTTTTATTTCTATTTATTTTTTTATTTTTGTATTCTGATCTCTAGATATTACCAGTGTCTTTTTATTCAATGTAATTTAATTTGTAACAAACATGGACCTTTTTTAAATGAAAGTTGAAACTTCCATTCCGACAGAGAGCATATTTACCATTATGCTTTATGCTGTCTCTGGTCTGACCGACTGGTTTGTTTGGCAATGAAGTGCGTTTACACTACAGCTCAGTCTCTAAAACAATTAGCCCCTATTAAAGAAAGGTCAAGCAAAGTTTACACCCAAACTGATATATTTATGCAATATGAAACACAAACATCACA